GGTGCTGGCTCCTACCCTGGGGGTCTTTAAGAGGAGGCTGGATGAACACCTGGCCGGGGTCATTTGACCCCAGTACTCTTTCCTGCCATGGCAGGGAGTCGGGCTTGATGATCTGCTTGGGTCCCTTCCGACCCGACCACCTATGAGACGTGTGTAGTCGCCTCGCTGTTCACCAAGCCCATGTCCCCCCTCCTCTCTCCTCAGGCTTTGGGGTTGGTGGGGGGAGCTAATCCCCTGGAGAGGCCAGCAGGCAGCGGGGTCTCTTCCCCCAGTAGCCAGGCCCAGCTGGCCCCTGCTGCCCCTGCGCCGCCTCCGTGTACAATAAAGGCAGTTTCTCAGATCTGGGTGCGAACGAGGCTTGGTCCCATGGAGGGGATCACCCAGCCTGGATGCGTGGTGGTTCCTGGGGAAGGGACCAGGCGGACGCGGTGGCGGCTGGCAGCTGTGACCAGCAGCCTGGTACCTGCACCCATCCTGTGCAGCAAATACCATCTACCGCACTGTTACCCGGTCGGCTTCTCGGCCTGTGGGGTGCTTGATGTCCCACCCCGTAGAGCCCGGGGCTGGGGAGTTGGGGGCAGGCCCCCACCAAACATCAGGCCTGGAGCCTTGTTGGGGAGGTGCTTCGATGGCAGCGGGTGAGTTCACCAATGCATCGAACGTGCCCCGGTGCCATTCGCTCCTGAGCACAGGCAGGTCTTGCCCGAGCTCGTTGGCCACGGGTGCTCTCGTCTTTCCAGGGCTCCAGCTGTCCTGAGGTCCGTCCAAAGCCTTTGCCCCCTTCTCTTCACGTCACGCTGCCCAGTGAATGGTCTCCGGCCTTCGCTGCTGCAAGCCTGGCCTCACTCCTGTAATCCAGCCCCTCTGCTCGATAAGCAGGTCATTTCCCCTCCTTACCTGGGGCATGGAGGGCCTCAGCTCGGGGGCATCCACCTTGCTCCTGACTTGGTCTCTCCTCGTTCGAACTGGGCAGCTGCTCCGCGCCTGCACCGGTGCTGCCCGGCCTGGGGGAAGCATTTGAGCCTCCCGCGCTCGGTGCTGCAGGTGGGAGGTTTGCGGGCGTTGAAGGCTGCGTCAAGGCAGCCCGGCCATCACGGGCCCCTGAGCTTTAGCTGATGAGACCTGCTTCAAGCCGGGCTCTTCTTGGCTACTCTGCTAACAGAGCCAGCCTGGTCTGCATGCGACGGTGCGGCGGCAGAGCAGCTTGTGCCCTGCGGCGGATGCACTGGATGCCGTCTTCGCTGCTGACAGTCATCTTACGTGGCGTTTAGATGATGGTTTGTCTGGGCTGGGGTGGTTTGTCGAGCCCCAGGCCGGCGGCTCCTCCTCGCGTGGCCTGGCCCTCGCGGCTCTCCCCTCCCTGGCTGGAGGATCGTGGCCCCCCTGGCAGCGCCTGGCCCTTTCTGGGGCTGGAGCCATTTCAGCCCCATCTGAGGCCACGGCGTGCACCCACAAATAAAAGGCACTGGCACATGGGGGCACTGGCATCTCTGGGGGGGCTCAGCCCCGGGCAGTGGTGGTGGCCACAATCCCTGCACTCAAGGCCCATCTCAACCACGGCTCGTGGATGGGTTTGCAGGTGACTAACAAGGCCCACCCGTGAGCCACGGCTCTGTGCGCAGAAGCCGCAGGTCCAGGCCGGGCATCTCCCCCTTTCCTCCGCTCTCCCCTGCTTCGCCCCGAAATCGGCTGCTCACAGGGGAGGTTGCGGCACCGCAGGCGTCCGTCGGCCGCTCGGCGAGGGCTCGGTGGCAGGAAGTGAAGCTGCCTGGAGCTAAAACAGGAACCTCGCAGCAAGGCCCAGCCCCAGCCGCAGCTGCCGGCAGGTGCCTCGGCAGAGAGCAGCCACTGTGTCCTCCGGGTGACGCAGACGCCGAGGTAGGAGCCTTGGGGGAGCTCGGGGTGGGGAAAGGAGCAGGCCTGCAGGGGTGCGTCCCCTCGCCCCCCCAGGGGTCATTCCCAGCCCCGACGTCCCCTGCACGGCTGCTCCCTGGCACTGTCCCGGAGCCTCCAGGCTGCCACGCGTGGCAGGGCCCTGGCCGAGCTGCAGCTCCCAGTGGCGTTGGTGCAAACAGGGCCGGATGCTGCTTGCTCTCGGGGCGCTGGGTCTGAACCGCACTCCCTGCGCCCGGCGTGACGGGTCGGGCTCTGCTCTACGACGGACCCTGGGAACCAGCCGTGGCTCCAGGCTGCGAGGGGGGAGAGCCGCGTTTCCCACGGCTGAGATCCCCCAGGGATCGAGCGTGAAGCGCCTCCCAGTCTGTGTGGGGGCAGGCTGGGGGCTCCGTGTCCAGCCGTGGGCGCTCCGTGGCCCATGGGCAGGGTGCTCAGCCAGGCCCGGCTCTACTGGAGATTAGAGGCCTGGTCTAGGTGAGCTGCCCTAGTGTAGACACAGCCCAGCCGCCTGCAACAGACTGACTTGGTCCCCCCTGCTTCCCTGTGTCCCCAAAGCTGCTGGTGGCAGCTTGCACTCGGAGACCTGCTTTGGGTTGCGCGGCGTGCTCCCTGCTGCCCTGCGTGGCCTGGGGTCCGGCAGCTGGGCACAGGTCAGGGACTGTCAGCCTTCGCTGGAGGGATCCTCGAGGTCCTTCAGTCAGCGCTGAGCAAATGGACCCTCAGATGTGGACCCTGGAGCCCCCGGTGCCCGGCGTCCCACCACCCCTCAGCCCCCGCGCAGGGGGAGGGAGCGCTCGTGGCCTGGCCCGAGCCACGAGAAGCTGTGGCGTCTGCGCGGCTCGGTTCTGCCGCCCCAACCTTCCCCTGCCCCAGCCCCTTCCCCAAGCAGCACCGAAACCGGTGCGGAGGAGCTGCTGCCTGCAGGCCTCAGGTTTTCATTTCGCAGTTGCCGTCAGCTTCCCCTTCCCCGTTTCTGGGCCTGGAGCTCCCCCCGCCCGGTTCCTGTTTGGGCCACGAGTGCCGTCAGCTGGGCCGGACGCTGCCAGGAGCTCGTCCCTTGCAGAAAATCAGGGGGGAGGTCACAAATGACTCCCCTGCAAGGTGGGGCAGGGGTCTGCTCCTCTCCAGCCAGGAGTTATCAGGGGTCCACGGGGCCCATGCTGCTGGGGGGATGCATTGGCTTGGCCCCTCCTGCAGCCGTAGTCACCATGAGGCCATGCAAACCCCTGAGGTCTCCTGCCCCTGGGAGGGCAGATGACGTGCCTCCACGGGCCACTGCCAGCCCATGAACCTTACGTTTTCCCCCCTGACCTTGCCTGCCCCAGGGTCACCCCCAGGCAGGAGCAGTGATGCCTGGCAGGGCTGGATGGAGAGGGGCTAGCTGGGCGAACCTCCGTCCCTGGGGCAGCAGGAGGAAGATCCCACGTGGGCAATGGGGTCCTGGGGGCCATGCCAGGCAGGTCAGATACCTGCCAGCTCCGGGAGCCACATTGCAGCCCACGGCATGAGCGCAAAGCTTTTGGGATTCCTGGAGAGGGTTGTTACCCATGATGCTGCGCTCTCCCCATGCAGATGTGGAAGTCTGTTGTGGGGCACGACGTGTCGGTGAAGGTGGAGGCGCAAGGAGACGACTGGGACACCGACCCCGACTTCGTGGTGAGCCACCGGCGCCCAGAGCTGGGCCAGGGTTGGGCTCCGGGCAGGCCTGGGGTCCCGGTGGGGTGTTTCCAGAGGACCTGAGAGGTGGCAACACGGGGCCCAGGCTAGCCCCAGTGCAGAATACATTGGTCTTGTGCTCCCGTGGGATTTCCCCCGGGAGCCACAGCGGACACGCGGCATTTATCCCGGGGCCGCCGCACGCAGCAGGCACCGTCTCCAGACCCCCCAGGACCTGGCAGGGATACAAGGAGCAGCCACGTGGCTTGGCGTGACCCATGCTCTTAGACAGATGCCCCCTGCCCCAGGGGAAATTACACCCGTGCATTTGCATGAAGGGGCTTGACTCGGGGTAGTGCCACATGGCAGCACCTGCTCCATCCCACTGCAAGGTGAGGCACGGCCCAGGCAGTTACCCTGGGGTAACCGGGTGCCCTCCCCGGGCTGGGGGAGCCAGTCCAGTCCCATGAGCTAGGGGAGCTCCCAAACTCTCCCAGCTCTGCCTCTGGTCTGCGCCATGCCCGAGGCAGCCGGTCGGCCTCTCACAGCCACGGGCTTGTTTTGCAGAACGACATCTCGGAGAAGGAACAGCGCTGG